ATTTTATGGGCTGCCGCGTTCGGAGCGCGAGCGCCGCGCGCCCTAGCGCGCCGGGCCCCGAGCGGCGGCCCTGCGGCCTTCTCAGGCGCCCGCTACCTCCGGCTCCCGGTAGGAGCAGGTAGGAAGTGGGGCCGGTGATCCCAAAACCGTTGCGGCCGCCCGGCACGTCCCCGGACCCCGCTGACCGCGCCCACGCCCCCGGGCTCGGCTCTGAACGCCGCGAGCTCCCTGAGCAGACGGCCGCGGAGACCCGAACTCGGAATCCTTGAGATGGGACGGGAAAGGCTCGGGGAGTCACGCCGGGGCTGACTCTCTCCTCCCCTCACTTCTCCACTCCGGAGCCGGGAGTTTGGGCATGACCGGCTCACGGGCTCTGGGATGGCCCACCTGGGTACTCCACTCTGAGGTCGACTTCACAGCGACAGGGCAAACCGCCTCGTGGCCTACGTTAGACGAGTCACGGTTTTAGTTGCACAGGTGAGGTGGCCCACTTCCTACTAATTTTTTTAACTTTTTTTTTTTTTTACACCAACCACGTGCCAGGCACCAGGCCAGTCACTTTACATTATCAACTTCTTATGTACATTATTTAATCCACATAATCCTTTCAAACTGACGTTTTAAATCCCATTTTACAGATAAGGCAACTGAGGCGCACAAAAGTTTAATTTGCCCAAAGTCCCACGACCAACAGGCCTCGGAGCATGGCAGAGACCAGGGACTTGGGCAGAGTCTGAATCCAAGGTACTTGCAATCTACCAGCCGGAGTCTCTCCCTCCCTGGGTCCCTGCCCTAGAAAACGTCTGTGCTACTTGGCTGAGGCCGACACTGCTTGAGCTGAGAAAGAAAAGGGGGAGAGCTTCCCAGGCAGGGTTATTCCAAGGTCGTGGAGCAGCTTCTGCCCATCCCTTCCCACTCCCTGTGAGATAACCTGGCAGCCCAGCGTTATCCTGTGACAAAGAGCCTGTAAGCTTCCTTAACGCAGGTTCCCTGATAATGATAAAAAAGAATAGTAAGCACCATTTTAAGCCCTTTCCATGTGTTAACTCGTTTCATCCTCACCACAAATCCCATGAGGTGGGCACAGCACATTTTCCTTTCGTGCCTTTTACGAGCGTACTTCAAAGAGTTCATGGAAATATTCATATTATCTTTTCATTCTATTATTCCACGAACTTTTTGAAGTTCCTTTGTGTGTGTCACTGTCTACATTTTACTTAGGAAACTGAGGTCCAGAGAGGTTAAATAATATTCCTGAAGAAACTCATGTGAAAAGTCAACCAGCAAATTGGGTTCAAATCCCTGTATGAGGGCCGGCCCGTGGCTCACTTGGGAGAGTGTGGTGCTGATAACACCAAGGCCACGGGTTCGGATCCCATATAGGGATGGCCGGTTCGCTCACTGGCTGAGCGTGGTGCTGACA